GATGCGTGGATTCATTGAGTTGCGAAGTCATTTTCACCTCGGCCTTCCAACTCCTGATGGGGCATCTCGCCGCTGCTTTGCAATATGTGATCGGCCAATGAGAGGAAAACCTTCCTGAAATTAAACAAATAATTTACACTTGACCAGGCTAAAATTTTCGGAAAAAAACTTTATAAAATTAGTGATTATACCCCATAGTGTGAGATAATGTTTAATCTGCTGGAAAATAGCTAAGTCAATAAAGGCACGTTGGTTAGGGTACCAAGATGCTAATTTATATCAAAATGCTCCCAACGAAATGCATGGAACTCCTGCATATCCACATACCGTGTATAAATTGAAAGAAAAAATTATTAATTAATTCGACATACTTTGCCTAAATCGTTCAAGAGTCATAATTTTTTCTTGCTCTAAATTTCTTTCGTATTTCTTGCAACCATGTTGAACTATTTACCAAAAACAACCGTGAGCAATTTTGTGCATGTATTTCACTGGTGATCGTTATCAGTCATTCTATTGCGGAACAACCAAAACTTCCATGATTAAGGCTACATGGCAAAATTTTTCTGCAGACTACAATGCACTCGCAGTATTCTGTGTTCATGCCTTTTGAATCACCGCAGTCAAATTGCCAAGTTTCTCTTCAATAAATGTGCATAAAGATACTTTTCAACTTCAAACAAATGCTAGCCAGAACCACAATATCTGGGCAGCTTATCGGCAGCCATGTTTCTCTCACATTCATCCCTCGGATCGCGTGATGAGTGGACCAACATTTTCCGTCACAGACGCGAATGCCATAGGAATTTCACGAGCCCGAACGATCTCGCTCGTATTTCGGATATGACGAGAGGATAGCAATTCAAGGGTTTTTTATGAGACGTTAGATGCAATTATTGTGAGTCCTTCGTCGACCATATCGCCCAAAAAACTAACGGATTTGATTGCTGCTTCATGGGCATTACTCCGCTTTCTTGACTCTTAAGAATGAAACTCGCATTGGTAGTTCGAAATTGTTGTTGACTCGTCCGTTTTCAAGTGGGAGTAAGGAAACAATTGCTGCCTTACTAGCCAATAATTTTTAGACTAAAGATACCAAAGTATTATATGAGAAACTGGAACAGCTGCGAAGATATATTCAGTGAGCTCTGCAATTACAATGTTCATAAAATAATTGATTTTACCAGTTCATTGCATCAATTGTTTACTACATTTTTCTCTTATTTGTGTTTATCTCAATTTCTATTATCACGGATGACGAAAATTTCAATCAAATTTTCAGAACAGTTATTGCAACAAAAAGCACTGGTAATTGTCGAGAGAATAGCTTACTAAGAGTATAAACCTCTAAAGTTTGCTGACTCATTTCATTGAATGTAGACAGGTACAGGAATGGACATTTTTAGAATTTCTCGTATACGTATATACAGATGGCATGGAAAATCGTTTTTTTTGGGCGTTTTTTAGACGTTCTTGATTTGATCGCGTTTCGTCGTTTTTCCAAGGGGCAACTCGCTCCTGACTTCAAGGCCCCTTCCAAGTGGCCACTCGCTCCTGACTCCAAGGCCCTTTCCAAGGGGCCATTCGCTCCTGATTCCAAGGCCCTTTCCAAGGGGCAACTCGCCCCAGATTCCAAGGCCCTTTCCAAGGGGCAACTCGCCCTTTGATTCACTTTCCTGTGTTCTGATATATGAAATTAAGAAAATTTCGAAATTTTTTCCACGATTTTTGCTCGCATTTTTTTCAATGAAACATTATAAAATTTTGTTTTCAATTTAGAGATCCATAGTTCGTTGGAAATTAACCTGGTACTCGTTTTTAAATTGAACGCAAGGTTTCGATTTCATACCTCCTAATAAATGCTCCATAAAACCTCATGTTTTAGAGAATAACTTCCCGTGTTCCTCTTGGAAAGCGTTCACATTATAAAAAATTTACCGTACGTTGCAGGACTAACTTGGACCGCCTCATTAATAAGAAAAATTATTCATATTAATTAATATGATTAAGATATGGTCATTAAGATAATAAGATTGGAAAAAATAAAGGACAGTAACCTGACTCATTCACTGTAATTTTTAATCTAACATAGATTGATATAACAAATTTTCTGACGAACTAAATTCATTAAGTATGATAAAATTATAATTTTTAGTCCTAATATTGTTAAGCTGCCTTGAGAGACAGTTTGGGCTATATTAAAGCTAGTTATTAGGGTGGAGCTCTAATTGACTTCTTCGCGTTAGGTTTCACTATAATGCGGAAAAATTTTTATGTGCAAAATAAGCAACTTGTGAAAAACTTTAGACTCCTAGATTAATTTTTTTTCGATTCGTGACCCGTTAGAAATTCTCAAAAGTAAAAATAAAAAATAGCACATAAATGGAAAATTGCCTTAAAATTCCAATGGCGTTTTTAGAGGACAAAATAGGCAAAAGAAAAACATCATAAAAACCCCTCTAAAATATATTATCCAAGTTTCAAAGCTTCGCCTCATAATCTTCATTATTAGAAAATCCCGTAAGAATATGAGGGTAAGGCATATACTTGTCCATATATCACAATTTTACTTTAAATAATATTTTTTTAAAAGTGAAAACTATTTCCAATTTCTAGAACTCTAATATTATCATCTTCATGGTCAGATCACTCAGAAATTACTAGCACTCCTACAGTTGTAACTTTAGTAATTATTTTAGACATAAGGCATCAGAACTCTCTTTCCAAATCATTTTCGACCTAAATATTGAACTACAAACTACTTGACCTATATAGTAAAAATGGCAAAGTGTTGATACCTTCGAAACGTAATCCATGAATCATTTAAAAAAAATCGAGTCCTCTAGATATTTATTTTGAACCTACAAACTAGTTAAGAATTCAGATTTTCCCCATAAATTTTAGCAATTAGCTAAACGAAATTATAGCATGGGAGGCATCTTCTATGCTCTGCATATAGTCAATTTAATGAAATCTTCTGTTGCTTTTCAGCTTATGTTTTGAGTAAGTGAAAAATGACTAAAGTTGCATACGGTTAAGATACTTGCTTAGATTAAATCATTTTCGTCCTGAAATATTGATTTTCTAGATGTTAAGTTTCGATGCGAGACATATATTTCGTATTGCAAGGAGACGTCCTCAACAAAAACATTTAAATTTTACTTCAGCTAAGAATTTCGTTAGATTGATGTCTTGGAATAATAAATTTGAAGGAAGAGAGATCTGAACTGATTGTTTAAAAGAAAGTGCTGCGGGACTACTCGTTTCCCCGTTGACTCTTTTCTTAATTGCTGACTCAGTTGCGCAACACTACTTAGACCGCTTTCATAATCGCAATGAAGAGGTGAAGTCTGGAAAATGAAAATACGACTTTGTAATGAAGTACAATGCAAATTTCCCACCACTGATTGTCAGACTGCAAAGATTAAGCACGATCAGCTCTGAGGTGGGCGTTAAGTTTATTTTGACCATCAGATAAGCTGCTGATCCCGACTTGCGCACTGATTCTTTTCCTATAGGAAATTTGGATTCTTATAGGATATAGGATTCTTGACTCAGACGCAATGGAGGGGTAGTTGCATGCGATAGTGGTGAGATTTTATTTCTTAGTGAAATATCGTGATTTTTGTGAATATAATGGTTTGTCATGTGTAGGTATAGTTTTGTTTTTGTTTTCTGTTGTAGGATCGCGCGTTTATTCTCGAAACTCCGTGCTCTAGCTCTCTCCCCGCATTGTATCTCTCACTTCGCAATTAAGCTCTCCCCCGCATTCAATTTGGCAATTCGTTTAGTACTTATTTCGCATCTCTGTAAAATCGCTAGTTTTGATTTGGTTTGTTTCCATTTGCCGTTTATCTATAAACAATTTAATTAAGCTTGATTTTAGTTATCAATCCTTTCAGTCCAAGCTATTTCAATTAAGCCAATAGGGAAGTATCTTTCAATTTCCGGTCATCGGTGGGCGTGACAATTAAGACCATCCGAACTATGTGACGCAATTGGTTATTCGAGAATTTAAGACTAATTCGTCACAGAAAATAACGATCTATGTAAACTAGTCAAAATTCTAGCTCAAATATGAACTAGAAATATTACATGGCTGGACCCGACCTGTAATGTCGCTGGGCGACAGGTAAGTTAAATACTCACAGGTTGAGACAGCAGGCCACATGAAAGTTGAAAGTTTGTCAAGAATACGAAATACACGAATAAGAAGGTAGCGTAGCTCACAGTGCTGTTGGCAAACACTATGGGACTCATTTGATCCAACAGTTGCCGCCCAGTTGCAGCCTCCTGCCAAGCTGGTGGCCGATTTGTAGGACGGACGGACGGACGGACATGACGAGCACAATAGCGCTTTTTCTCCATAAATGAGCATTTTGACCTCAAAATCCATGAGCAGTACAGCTCCGGATGTGGCTCTACCAGTGAGGCTGGTTTTCTGGAATCACGGTCATTGAGTCTATAGATTTCGATAACTAATTGCTAATTAATTCACTTATTCCACGGTTCTATAGATTTTGTTCAAGGATTAGTAGTGGACAACAGCACTGATGGTAGATCTGTACAGGGGCTTGTCTTCACGGACCGCTGCATGGTGACGCCCGTTTAGAAATGTGGATGAAAGGCTTAGAGGGGTTGATGTGACAATTTAAGCATCGAGTAATGCGTTACGAAAAAAAATATAACTCAGTACTCACTGCAGTGAGTGACAGAGAGCGCATTTTCTCGTCGACGAAAACGTGAAATCAGGGACAGACGGACGGACATGACGAGCACAGTAGCGCCTTTTTTCCATAAATGAGCAAATGCGCTAAAAAGTGCGACCGACATTTTAAAAAAAATTGCGGTAGCTACAACTCTTTTTATTACCTTTCCTGAATTAGTATGAATGATAACGAGCTGACGTAAAAGCAGCTCCTACAAATGAGCATTAATAATTGAGAGTGTTTTAGGCAACAATTCAACCACAATAACTTGAGTGGTTATTTATCTTACAGTGCGGCCCCTGACGGTACAGATCTTGGGGGCGGCAGAGCCCGTGTCTGCGGGGCGGCCGTACGAGCTGGTGTGCCACAGTGCGGGGGCACGGCCCCCTGCCACGCTCACCTGGTGGCTCGGGGGGCAGCTCCTCACCAACGCCACCACAACCGTGAGTGTATTATCCTATAGAACGCGTTAGCAAATGATAATTCTTATGAATTTCTAGGTATTGCCTAAGTTAGTTCCTAGGAATTTTTATGTATTGCCTAAGGAATNAGCCTGTAGAAAGCTGTAGCAAATGATAATTCATATGAATTTATATGTATTGCTTAAGGAATGGTTTGTTCGTATAGGTATTACATGTGCACCAGCCTGTAGAACGCGTTAGCAAATGATAATTCTTATGAATTTATAGGTATTGCCTAAGTTAGTTCCTAAGAATTTTTATGTATTGCCTAAGGAATGGTTTGTTCGTATAGGTATTACATCAGGAATTTTTAATTTCTAGGTTTTGCTTTAGTAATTGCTGAGTCATGGGATGCATTTTGGGAATAGTTAATTATTATTAATGGCTGATTGTCTAGGCGATCAGCTGATATGAGCATTCACTATATGCATATATAGGATCCTTTTGTCAGCGGTTATCTCATTGCTATTATTACAAACATTTCAGTGATTGGGTACAACTATGTGAGAAAAATAATCAAAATTCAATGCAATATTAATGGAAACCTTACCTGATCCATAGAGCATTAATCTCTACTGTTACCTCCGAGTCTCGATTAGAGAAAGTTGCTTCGACCTCCGTAAATCTCATGTCTGGTTTCGAAGTGGGTTCATCTTTAAATGTTGAAAATCCGGATACAAATTAAAGTAACAGTTTATCATTTAAAATTGTATATCTATCTCTATCGTGAATACTAACTTTTAGGGAGCCCCTAGTAGTGGGCTTCTGTCGTCCAGCAATTGCTCATTGGATCATGATTTCCGAATCGGATTAAATAATCAATTTCTGATCAGCTGAAATGGAAGAAATAACTTATTCAAGATAATTTTATCAAAATTATCTAAGATTTGTGTACCGCTGTAGGCAACATTTGACTGGTAGCGATGTTAAGTTTGAAAGAATTCCTGTAGTTAATTTTTATATCTCAATTGTTTTAAAATTCAACACAGAGAGGACGTGTTCATCTTTCTGATGCTTTTCAGTTGGTAACTTTTGCTCAGACGGAATCCTGAGCGAACACATCAAAACTCAAACGATCATAAAATAATCCAGTAAAGCTTGATAAGGGTTTACCACAGTTACTACAAAAAACAATAGCAGATTTTTTAAGGTATCGTCATCCCTGTATCTAATTTTCAAACTTTTCTAAAAGTATGTTGTTTATATTCTTTGTTTTGGGATTTTTAGGTATCATTTTGTTATGTTTCATTTGTGATTGCAAATGTACATTTTTCAAATATTTGTCTATTTTCTGGCAATCTGTGTCATTTCCATGCAGAAAAAAATACTTGAAAGAAAAATTTCACGGATAATTTTGTTCACGTAGAGAATTTTCCGTTAAATTTAGACATTTTTGCAGAGACCTAATAAGATTATCGCCATTTAAGTACTGGAAATGCGGCGTTTCATGCATTTGGTGAATTTATTAGAGGTACCAGGGCCTATACTTTCGAAAAAAGTTAAGAGATCATAAGTTCATCAGCCAATCATTGACGGCCTTTCAAGCAAAATCCACCAATCATAGACAAGAAAATAGAGCGTAAGTACTTACGTTCACTTAGCGAATTTTAAAAGTATGGCCCCAGCTCGGTATAAAAGTGTTCGTTAGGAGGGTTTTTTCAATTATTTCATACATTTTAATCTCTCTTTTATCCACGAGAGTCACACTTTAGCACACATTCCGCTCCTATAACTGAGCATTAATAATTGAGAGTTTTTTAGAAAACAATTCAACTACCATAATATTCTCCGCTATATTGATTGAGCTCAAGTTCTTATGCAATTAATCTATTTACACTATGTACTTCTCATAAGCATTACCATGAATATTCAGTTTGTTCTTATTTATTCATGAGCAAGGCAGGCAGCATTCATCACCACATACCAGACAGGATGCATGTCGGCAATAAATGAATTGGGAAAACGCCTGAAATATTACAGCAGCACAAAGCTACAAGCGCTGGTCTCTGCCACGGTGCGGTGTTTGTTGTTCGTATTCCTGTCGCGAATTCCTGGCATGTGCAAGGAATTAAGACGTGTTGCTTTAGGAACAGAATACAACGTCTGAGTCTTCCAACAGCAATTTGAAATGTTATTCTGTGACATTAAAGTTGAATTACATCAGAATAGAAAGCCAAGAATAGGAATATTGACGACATTCCTTTTATATGGTAAAGAATATTTACAATTTCGTAAGATTATTTACATCACAAATGTTTGGTTGATCAGCATTGCACGTCTCAAACAAGGGAAAGTTGAAAAATTTGAACACGGTCATTAATTAGGACTTTAGGGAGCAGTTCTCTAAATTTCCAAACTGCATTAATAATTAGCACACTACCTATCACTTTTTTCGCTCACTGAATTTTTTACGAGGGCAGTTAAGTTTCATTCTTAATTTGAATTTAGAAACAAAAAAATTGTATGAATTTTCAGTGATTTCATTCACGATTGAAATTAGGAACATGATCTTGGACCGTTTTGGATCATTCCAATTAATTGTTCGTGTTCACTTTTATTGCTGCATGGAGGAGGAATTATTGTGTGAACTTTCGCTATATATATTATACATTTCACTCAGAAGCATTTGTAACACAAACTAGCAATCACATATTTTTGCGCCACATTCAAAAAAATACTGCTGAAAAATAAGAAAAAGCAAAATTTAGACGTACGGTAAGGAAATTGTATGCAATTGTATGCTGAAATTGTATGTATCTTCCGCCATCAAGTGAAACTTTGGGATGTGATTGAAATCACTCAAGAAATGTACTAAAATGTTTGGAAGTTGTTAGCGTTTACCGGTGCACCATATATGCACCGTAAGTCTACATGGAACATTGGCTCACTGACTCGATTCGACGTTAAAGTGGAAACTTTAAATATAGGCAACAGGGCTGAAATTTTTATCAAATCTGCAATTCCGTCAAATGCAAATTTTCAAATGGTCTAGATAAAGATTAAATGCGTTAAGAAGCGTTCATAAATTTTCCAATAGTCTCTTTTTCTAATGACTATCAATCAAATGATTCTATATTTAGGATTGTCCACCAATAATATTGAAAAGACATTGCAGGTGGAAATATTTTTATTCTTAGCATTACCGGAAGCAGCAATCCTTATAATAAAATTATTCCTCTCAACAAAATATGTTTTATTTCAATTCGGACGTCACCGAACATGGTTTGCTTCTCTCTGAAAACAACGATATTAATTGGTTTCATGATTCATGAATTATAATTAATCCTTCAGGATAGGAAAGCCACAAAAGTTCGCAGCCTACGTTCACTAATTAATCCGTTTGGGAATAATATTCTTGGTGCGTCGTGTTTACCGGCCGCCAGCCTCCGATCGATGCCCTGATAATGAAAGCCGGCATTTTGTGGCGTGGCGGCCTTAACTTTTTAGTGGGTACTTAGGGTCATCCGAAATCCATCACTAATGCTAGGCTCGAGAAAATTGATCAACGGAACGAGAGAAAATAACATAGCGTGCGATGTTGTCCCTGAGACTTACTCTTTTATCCCGGGATGAGGCTCACGACAGTCACTCTGGTATGCCGCAACATCTGAGACTTTGCGCGGTCACGAATCTCAGTTAATCATACATTGCGTAATCGCGAAATTCATTTATAGTCATGATTTGCATGGACACGAAACTATCAGTTTGTGCTCGTCACAAGTGCGAATTCACTTTAACATTGCAAAAAGTAAGATGTATTGGCAGAAAAAAATTCTTCAATAAAATAACACAAACTAAATACAATAACGAACTAAAAAATTTGAATATTGAGCTCATAATAAAGTCATGATGCTTCAATTGATTCAATTCAAGATGCCACTAGATTCAATAAAGGCTGACTCGTATGCTGTTCTCTCTCCTTGCTCAGCGCCTCATTATCAGCACCGTCACAGCGATGCACAATTTCGAGACAAAATTTACCGTCTCCGTGGCTTCCCAACCACCAACCACCAACATAAATTTTAGATGACACCTGGTCGATTACAGTCAAATTTTTTACGTTAGAGTCAAGGTGAAAGACCAAGTCTTCTGGCGAAACGACCTACAGTTTTCCTCATTTTCAAGGTGTATTTTTCCAGCTCTATTACGTCGGCCAGCTGTCATCGCTCGAACGACTCTCGAGAAGACAATCCCATTTTTCAGTGTGTATCATTTGAGCCCGAGAAATGCCTTATTTTCTGCTTACTGCTGATCTGCGCGTCCAATTTCACGGAGTCTCACTCGAGAATTCGGTGCCGTTACTTTCCAGTTCCATGGCGCGACCATAACGTGATTCCCTCTTCTCTGTTATTGAGAATTAGCTAAATTAAAGCGTGATCCTCGGCAAATGAATTTCCTATTGAGTGAAGGTCCCGCCGATGGCCGCTTGTAGTGACGCCAACAATTGTTTTCAAAGGATTCTCTGCGTCTGCCTCACACTATAGGGAAATAGTATCATTATTCCTATTACAGTTGGAAATTTGAGATTTGTAATCAAATTTATCTTGGGAATTGTATACGTTTAAGTCTCAAATCTATACATTTTGAAATGGGTTTGGTTGATTTTGATGATACAAAATGATTTCATTTACAATAATATCCAAATCAGGTATATACGCAGGATAGGATTACTTCACTGAAATATTTATTTTAAAAATAAAAAAAATTGAAATTGACTCATTACTACCTACTTCCAACGAAATTCAAAGCGATTTCACTTTCATTATTAATTATTTATATTGTCAACAAGGTCATAGACGAATTTAACACAAGCAATTTCTTAGACGATTTACAGAACGATGAAAATATTCAAGGACATGAACAAGTCGGTTGAAAACTTTCATTCACAACATAGTCGGTACTGTCAAGTTACAACTATCCTGGGATTATCTTTACCGAATACTGTCCAATATTTCATGTTTATTAATGAATACCTAAGTGATGCTTCGTTTCTAGGCTGACCGTTTTTTAATTTTCTACAGATTGTGACAAAAGTTTACTGAAATTTATAATATCTCAAGTAACTGAAACAATGTTTAAATCTATTGCAATATTAATAACAACCGAGCCAAGAATGTACTGAAACTTAATGCAAAACAAATTCTCATTTTTTCGGAACGAGTGAGTACATCAATACGAATACAGGAACTTTTTTCGAGTACTCTACTGTCACATCGCGCATTCTCTAATGTTTACTGCCGCATACATCAAATATCTGCAGCCGTAACAGACTCTGCTTCACAAAATTAGTTCTTGTCTTCTGATTTGTTATTCTTGAGATGAAAAACATTGACAGAAAAGTTCTCCTCACACAGACGGCGAGCTCGGGCAACGTGACGGTTTCTTCTTTGATCTACGAGCCGAAAATTGCGGACTCCGGACAGCAGCTCCGGTGTCGCGCAGAGAGTCCCGTCATCCCTCATCCTCCGCTGGACGATCACTTTGACATTATTGTTTTCTGTGAGTAAATGTAGATTTAGTTACAATTAATTGATGGTTGTTGCTTGCAGGCATGCTGGTAAGTTATGATAATCCCGGGATGAAAATGACGAATTTTCGCGTACATAGGAAAACGTGTCGAAAATTTCCATTTCCCTCATCATTGCTATTCGGAACAAAATACAATATTATTTGGAAGGGTGGCAGCAGTAATTCCTAACTTTTAATTATATCGCCAGTATATGTTCGACATGACTAGTCGACCAAAAGATAGAATAATAGTTTTTCATTTAACTGAAACACAGCATTGTTTGTTTTGCGTTAATATACGTATTAAAATAAATAAAAACCTTATGAAAATTCGTTAGAGCACTAATGTCTCCATCACTCTCGCGTCCTATCGTTGTTCTATCATCAAGCACAAGTATAAGTCATAAGCTTGGTAGATTCTCGGTCAAGGCTGTTAAATATTTTCTACACTATAGAGCTAAACACAATTTTCTCGGCTGATCAAAAGAATGGATCGGAAGTCTATAAATTTTCCGTGCTTCTTTGTGAGCCAATATTTTTTTAGAATAGCAAATACGTTGTCTCTTGGAAAATGTACGGATTCTGAGATATTACTGATCCGACGGTCCACGCTATTAACATGCATCTTCATCTCATTTTCATTCGCAGTTCTTCGGTTATTGGGGTAGATTGTTATGAAGCCCACCCCTAGAAAAGTTTATTGATTCCATATTTGAATCAATAAATTATTGTTAATGATGCATTAAAATAACAAATAATAAAACTATATTTGTTTTTAAAAAAATTTTCATGAAAATAGAATCAAACATGAAAAGTTGATGCCCTATACCAATGTTGAATTATTATCGATAGGAGATTTGCAGGCAAATAAATTGCATTGTTATTCTTTTTCAATGGTTGCATGAAAATTCGCCACATTGTTTCACAGCTTGAAGGCAATAATTAAAATTTTATTTCTATGTATAATTGAGATACTAAATGGATTTTAATCTTTGAGGTTATAGATTAGGTATTTCAATATGATTTTTATGATTATTAATAATGAAATATGGCAAGTCAGGAACAACGTGCGGGAGTTACGCGTAACACTTACATGTGGAAAAATTGAGGGAGAATATTCTCGAGTTATCCGCTGGTAAAGAATAGTTAAACATAAAACAATAATTATTTTCTCATTCAATTTTAAAGCTCATAATCTTTCTATCGGTAAGTTCGATCATGACACCTCAATAATTATGGACTCATACATATTGAAGAACTTGAACGTTTTGAAAGAAAATTAGCTCATTTTAGTAATCTCCCTTAAACTTTAACTCTGAAAATTAACACGAAAGCACAGAATTATACTCATGCCCTAGGCCCTGCAGCTAACCACCATAAATTTCACCTCCTGCTATCATAAGTTACGTAGGAACGCACTTGTGCAACGACCGCATGCTCTGGAAGACCGCTTATGGCATGCATTTGTCCAGACGCGCGCTTACAGCATCGTTGGATTTAAATCATGAAAACTTATTATGGGGTAAACTTCTTCTGCGGAGAAGATTTCAATTTATGATGAAAATATATGTTATTAAATTATGCTTCACGACAATTTTCTACAAGAATAGGCTGAAGGTGAGATAATTCTTCAGTTTTTTGGGATACAATGCGAATATAATATAAGTTGAGTTCATGGAGAAGCCAATAAGCATGGCGCTGTCTTGAACTCTGTGATCTATTGTCAAAAATACAGCTTTGCAGAGCCGTACAAATCAGGCCTCCACTCCTATATAGTAGCTGCGCTGTAATTTCGGCTTCGTTCAGAGTCTCCACTTACTCCATTACTCAACCTTCAGCGTTGTGTTTAACCCCTGAAATATGCCGTGAACCTGCAGCTCAAATATCTTTATCCGTTAATAATTTCTTCACTTTAATGGCCCGAGTACTAGGACTATAAATCTCAATAGGCAAATAAAGTGCTTGTCTGTGAGGCCGTTTCCGCAAGCTACCAGTGTTGCGTGTGCCGATGCATTGGGCAGTGTATGCCAAAATGCTCATTGTTTTAATGTAGATCTTGAATATGAATTTCTAGATAGACTACAGCCCCATGTTTTTCCTGTTTAGATTATTTTTGTTTTATTCCGAACTAACATTCTTCAAAAACTTTATTTCAAATATTTGGATTTTATTTTTCCTCGTCTGCTACAAATAACCTAATAGTTTGGAACTACCAACAGTTTTTACGCATCGTCGTTGTAATTGAAATGGCACAATCAACTCCCATTTCTTCTCCTTTCAGACTCGACACCTACAAAGCAAATATAAAATAAATTACTGAGAATTTAGTCTAATCTCCATTATTAGAGAAGAAAAAAATTGGTTGAATAGCAAACGGCTTGAAGCAAATGAAGTTGTGAAGTGGAAAATTGTATTGTTATTTTATTATTATTTCTTCTGCAAGTTTATTTATCATGCCGTTTTAATCATCTGTGTTTATTTATGATAATTTCAAGCAACTGTTCATCTATTTTCTCATTATCATCCGATGGGTCAATGCTAATGGATGAAGACATGTTGAGCTTAGTTTATTTATTTAAGTGCGAGAAGCACACGTGCAAGGATATCATTTAGATATTTAAATAATATGATTCATAATCATTCAGAAATTATTCAGAGTTTTCGTATGAAACGAAATCAGAATGTTTTTTATCAGTACGGGAGTGGTCTTCCATTGTTCAATAAATAATATGATTCATATTCATTCAGAAATTATTCAGAGTTTTCGTATGAAACGAAATAAGATATATTTTTTATCAGTACGGGAGGGGTCTTCCAATGTTCAATTTGCACCCTGCAGATACCCCCATCGTGCACTTGGGGCTCGGCAGTTCGTTGAGCCCTGACAGCATCAAGGAGAGCGAGGACGTCTACTTTGAGTGCAACGTTCAAGCGAGACCCAAGATCTACAAGGTGGTTTGGTACCACAACGTAAGTCGAACTCTTTAGTCCTTTTGATACACTTAGCTTTAGATTTACGTCTCCATCTCATTAGTACGCGACGTCCGCAGTTTTTCCGCTAACATTCATGTATTGATCGATTTATATTTTCTGCTCACCATTAACAGCATAATATATCCCTGCTTATATCATTCAGTTTTTTTATTTATTGACATATTATCTGCAATGAATGTCAAGTCGAAATTTACACTATAATATGTTGAGCTCGGCCTTGATGATGAGCGCGGCGAGTGCACTACCTGGGTGAGAACGAGTGAATTATATATAATTTACTACGAAAAAATCACATTGTACAAAATTATTGAGATTAACTAAATTTTAAAAGTATTGGAAATACTCATCCTAGAACTCGAAGTCCAGTGTGGATCGAGGATTCACACTCGATCAGGAAAACGAAATAAAATATAGGTATGGTATTTACATAGCAAATAAGAAGATAATGCATGAGCTCTTGAGCACAAACAATCAAATTTAAAGCCAATGTAACAATTCAAAATAACTAACAATATACGTTAAATACACACATAAAATTAATGACACAATACTTTATCGTTTTGGGTCCTGTAACTAACATGACTTACAGTTGATTAAATGCTGGCGGGTCGCACCGCACTTCACTTGCTCGAATTAAATTTGAACTTAGCATCCCGAAGAAATAATAATCAATAAAAGGAGCATTTAATATATATAAATATTTTATCCTTTATCGCTTACACGTGACTTCATTACGAGGAAATTATAGACTGAAATTGATCTATGTTGTTGTCTCGCAGATTAAATACAATTTTTTTTTAATACAGTCAACCATATGAGGAGTAAGTTACGATATAATATTTCCGCCAAATCACGTTGGACTAATTGTAATGTTTGCTAGAATATTTCGTTATTGCTCGGCCAGATATACTGCCGAAACAAAACAATAACATTTTCCATTATTTGCCCAAACACCGTCGTATAATTACGCGACCATGGAGGCGGAAGCACCGAGTCAGCGGTTATTAGTGCGTAATCCATAACTTAATACACTTATTATCCCCAATTAATGCAATCAATTGTTTTGTGTTGTGCAGGGTGACCTGGTGAAGCACAACGTAAGCGCCGGAGTCATCGTGAGCAATCAGAGTTTAGTGCTGCAGCGCGTACGTCGCCTACAGACCGGCCTCTACACCTGCATCGCCTCCAACAGCGAGGGAGACGGAGAGAGCAACGCGGTCAACCTCAGCGTCCAGTGTACGTCTTGTGTAGGATAGTCTAGTGTGAGATAGTCTAGTGTAAGATACGTCTTTACGTCCATTGTGGGATACGTCCTTATGCCCGGTGTGTGAGATACGTCGCCAATACGGCCAGTGTGTGTGAGATAAGTCGCCAATAAGCCATGTGTGAGATTCGTCTGTACGTCCATTGTGGGATATGTCTTTTTGTCCAGTTTGAGACAGGCCAGTTTTACGCGCGTGAGATTCATCTTGGTTACACACACTTCGAATGAGTTCTTGATCAATTTGCGATTATGAGGTTCCCAGCATCTTAGGGGCGATGTACTTTATCTTTAATCCGTCTGATGTAGTGTTTGGTGTTCGCAACTTTACAGGAACTGTAAAATTTCCAGGGAATGTAATAGCTTTTAGTTATATTAGTAGCAGGCTATATACTGTAAAAGGCCGAGCTTCCAGTACACTCATGACGATCTTATGCAATAAAAGCATCTGATATTTGAATAACTAATTGCTCTTCAGAAAACTATTTAGAAGTTTCAATAATATTGTCTATTGAAATATTCCAATTGAGTCTCATTGAACTCGTCCCCTCAGACTGCCAATTATATCAATAAGCCACATTCAAGGCAAGCAATTCATACAACAAAATACTGTTTTGGTTGCGGTTTCCCTCAAAGTTAATTATTGGTGCGCATTGTGGAATTTGAGTATCAAAATAAATATTATCTTAACATTACCATTTATTATATCATAAAAATATCATTTTTAATTAACAGAATAAACATTAATTAAGCTATTTTGAAATGAGTAAAAAGTACACACGTTCGGACGTAACCGAACAAGCTTTGCCTCCCTCTGAAAACAACGATATTAATGGGTATTGTAAATCATGATTCATAATTAATCCTCAAGGAAAGGAAAGCCTTACATAAAATTCAGGAATAAAAATCGATAAATATACACGATGCTGATCGTGCAATAAAGTTATCATACATTGAAGCTTAAATAAAATTACTAAATTGTTGAGTTAAATCAGAGATAAATCATAGATGCGAATCATTGCATTATACCGCAATTTAATACGTTGATTGGAACATTGATTGCACTACTAACTTACTAAGGATGCGGAATAGAAAGTGTCTAATGAGTGAACTCCGTAGGAGCAGAACAACCTCATCCAGTATTGTTCATATATAGCGTGTCTAATGCGTTATATTAGTTGCGTTAATTATTTTGCATGTCTAATGCATATTCATTTCGTATGGCAAATTCGTTTATTATTTAATATGTTTAATTCATTTATTATTTTACCAATTTGATGATTTTATTATTTGTGTTGCCTGCTTTGCACAACACTCATTAGTCAGCCAACGGTTCTCAATAAACATGGAAATCATCACTTTTTATCGATGCACGAGAAAAGAAAGTATTTTGTTATTTTCTTCTGTCGAGGTCAATGTTAGATCATTTATTCCTTAGCTATACCATTGCTTGTTCCCTGCAGCACTCGACAAGCTATGTAAGTGTGTGAGATATGAAGATCTGAGACTCATAGAGAATCCTTCAGGCTTCCTAAGCTGCTCCTAATCCCGCTCCATCAGCGCCTGTGATTGCTCAAGATAGAAAATTATCTCCTGAGCCTCTACAATCTTCTATCATTTTCTTATTCATGACAGATAATCTCAAGGCCATTCAACCGCTTTTATCTAGTATTAGTACTGAGAGAGTACCTACATATTTTATAAGCTTTTTAGCGCATAATAATTTTTTGTGCATCATTTATATGGGATAAATACGTTCTTGTTTCAGAATAAATACTTGCTTATTAACAGCTATTTGAGAATTAAGGAGTGCGACACATGTATTTCAGTTCTTTTATGGTTTAGAAGAGTAAAAAAAGTTTGCTACAAGAATTTTTGACACAAAATTCATTTAATTATATTGATGAATCTCCATGCATTATTCCGTCATGATCATAGATCCTCAATTGATGGATAAAATGATACAAATTTGAAACGGAACCTACTTAAACTCAGTAAACCAAGTCTGAAGTTATAACGTTGCCTTCTCTGTGACAGACGCACCGGTATGCGTGCCTGGCCAGACCGTGACGTACAGCGCCGCACGTCACGAAGAAGTGACGGTGACGTGCGAGATCAGCGCCGTGCCTGCCGTCGTGACGTTCCATTGGCGTTTCAACAGCAGCGGCGACGTCGTGGACATCGCTGAAAGCCACATCGTTTCCCAAGGTCTCAAATCTTCGCTGTCGTACGTGGCAAGAACAGAGCTGGACTATGGAACCCTCCAGTGCTGGGGATCAAATCCACTGGGCCGTCAAAAAGAGCCTTGCAGATTCCGAGTAATCCCTGCAGAGCGTCCCGATCCCCCCAAGCAATGCAGTTTGCTGAACGACAGCGCAGACTCGCTCATTATTCGCTGCCAGCCCGGATACAGCGGAGGACTCTCACAAATGTTCATCGCAGAAGTTTACGATGCAGATACTAAACAGCTTTTGCTTAACATCACCGATGCAGCAACCCCCTACTTTCAGTTGGTAGGTTTGGAGGCCGGAACTTCATTTAGTGTAAATGTTTACGCAATCAACGCGAAAGGGGCGTCAAAAAAGCGAGTCATTGAGGGATACACGGACAGAGATTTCACAGACAAGAGAATCGCTCAAGTTCGTCATCATCCCATGAAAAATGTCCCGAACGAAATACCTTACGCTCAGCTGCTCGGAATAGGAGTAGGCGTTCTTGGCAGCCTGGTCCTTTTCACTGTCGTGGCAGTTTTACTGCTGCGGTGGAAGAAGGAAAAGCGGCAGTCAAAACAACTTCACAAGAGTTCCTTCCAAACTTCGCTCTCAGACTGCAAAGATGACAACCCCGACATCATCCCAAGCAGCGGTGAGACTTTTAAATACACCACTTTGAAGATAACGTTAAACATTTTGAATGAATAGCCTAATTTATATTTGTCTAAGATTACCTGCTTGTTTGTTAATTTCTTTGTGTGAACGAAGCCTGACATCGTTAAATATTATTATTTTATTTATTTTCGCAGATTTCCGTCAAATCTCTGAACGGGAATTGTTTATAAGTTTCGTATTGAATATAGGTTTGAACGGGTCTATATACCATTTCGATACTTTAATTTCAGAACTAGCAACTAGATTCTGGATGATGAGTTTCGGAAAACCGTGAATCTGAAATTCAGGAGAAACAACAATAAGAAACAACAATAGCCCGACAACGTTGTCGGGCTACCCTGCTATTATATATACCATATGTAAAGTGAATGTCAGCAATTATCACGTGTCAATGTTACTTAGCTCGGTGATGAAGCCTCAAGACAAAAAAATTGCTTCTGGACGGTATTAAAATCCAACGTTTTGCAACTCAGTTCACCAAGTTGAGTACGGATAAAATCAACTTATAATTTCTGTAATTGACATCGTAGCAACAAATTCATAACTGATTCGCTATCATCAAGAAAAATTCGCTCTATTTTAAATAAACTATGCCAATGTTAATGGGAGTCATTGGTATTCATTTAATTACTTATGTGAAGAATTATTTCCTTTTTGTAAGGAGCTTGTCATATGGAAAATACTGAGAAAAAATATAGCTGTTGTGGAATCACTTATTTGGGCAATTATTGGCGATTTGACCAGTCGAAATATCATGGCAATTATAACGTTAGCCTACATTTTCATGGACACCCACACGTGTTGAGTTCTCACAAGGAAATTAAATTAATTGCTGAAAGCTTTTAGGTTTCAGTAATGTCTTATATTATAGGATCCATGATTGAGCCGCAGAAACTTCTCTTTCGGTAATAAAGTTTGCAAATAAACCAAGTTAGAGCTCATGTGGCAGGAGGCTTTGTCGCTTTTTTTATAGATTCAATTTAAAGAATAAATTTTCCTTGTAGGATCTCGTTTGTTTTGGAATAAGAATAAACATTCTTAGCGCACTGACATGTTCTTCATCGCTAATTAACGTTCGGCGCTGAGAATTTTGCTCATGTATTCCAAGACGAGACGGGAGTCCTAATTAGTGAAGTATTCCTATTAATTTCAGTGATCTAATTTAGCCGAAACATCAAGCCAAAACATAGCTAGCAAATTTTAAATACAGGCGAAATGTCAAAGTATACTAGCTACTGAGGTTTTCATATATTGAAACATTGTTGCATGCTACCTTTCGAATTGGCGAAATTATCCTCTAATGTTTTTCTCAATTTCCTGAATTATGTGAAAAGCGTTTATGAAATACTACATTATTGAAGTTAAGTTTACACTCCATATGCCTTGTTTGTACTCAATGAAGCGTTGAAATCTACTCTGAAACAGGCAGATCGCAGATAATTCAGTAGCACAGTCGCTTGAAGACTTTAAACCAATAACTTGAGTGATAGTTGAACCTGATCGATTGATTTTCGTTATCTCTATTAGGTTTCATGTAATTTGTGTCTGGAAAGTTTATGGAAACAGAATGCATTTCTACGATCGTAGTTTTATATTTTACCAATAAAATTTTTAAATCGAAATAGTACAGAAATGGGGGTCTGCTAAATGAACACGTGCTTTACAATAAATTTGAAACTCATTTTTAACTTGTGATAATTTGCAATTTGTTAATTTTTTATGCTAAAACACGTGCTTACGGAGTTAGTTTAGGCTTTTTCTTTTGTGAAATAAGGTGCGTGAAGTATATATGCTTGATGTAATGCTTATGTTGAGGAAAAGTTTGCTCTCTAAGACACATACTGGAAACTAGTAAAAGGACTCAGTACTCACTGTAGTGAGTGACAGAGAGCGCATTTTCTCGTCGACGAAAACGTGAAGTCACGGACAGACGGGCGGACGGACGGACATGACGAGCACAATAGGGCATTTCTCCATAAATGAGAAAATGCGCTAAAAATAGCATGAACTTTTTTCTATGTTTTCTCCTGATTAACGCTTGTTAAGCACAATGTCATAGGTAAAAAATCTACCGGCCTTCGACCCGAGAATCTTCATTTAGCAATTATCATTTTTTAATCATTACATTGAATTTTTGCACGAGAGAATTTAATTTAAATTCAATTTCACACACAATCTTCTTCATTACGCGAATCAATTTACTTTTTAATAATGTCATTTTAGGGTTAAAACGATTGTGTTTTTTTAACATTCCTACCGTCAACTTCAAAACTTACCTCATCGCTCGATTGCAAATCACGGAAACAATGCGCCTAGTAACATCAGACACTCCAAAACTTGAGACCTAATATCCACACCGTAGGCAAGGTCTGCCCGTCCTATCTTCAAATAATAACTCTTTGGAGTGCCTCCTTCATTCCTGACGTTGTTGTGTTGTCGCCGACAGATGCCAACTCTGAGACGAATTTGCCGTGCGTGCCTGACGCCAGCAGCTTCCACGGCGCCCCCATACCGCCCCCTGCAGCCTACTCAGCCTCGGTGTACTCCACCCTGCCACGCAGACATGAGGCAGAGGTGACTATTGTTCATATTTAAATTTCATGAGGCAGAGGTGACTATATTGTTCATATATAAATTATATTTCGTGTACTCAGCCTCGGTGTACTCCACCCTACCACGCATACATGAGGCGGAGGTGACTATTGTTCATATTTAAATTTTATTTTGTGTACTCAGCCTCGGTGTACTCCACTCTGCCACGCAGACATGAGGCGGAGGTGACTATTGTTCATATTTAAATTATATTGTGTTTACTCAGCCTCGGTGAACTCCACCCTGCCACGCAGGCATGAGGCAGAGGTGACTTGTTCTTATCTAAAGTCCATTATTTGTTCTCGATCAGCCTCCATTCAACTATGCTATTGTGGGAATTTTTTGGCAACGTAACTGACTCTGGAAAAGTTCTTCCCTTATTTAGAAATGCCATTGAAAAGAACAAGTAAAATAGTTTTCTTAAATAAGCAATTTTAATTTTTAGAAAATTCTAATAAGAGCCCTTTTAACCGAACTTGTTCTAAATTAATTGAAGTTCACTTATTACTGAATGGCATTCAAATTTAATTAATAGTAATTTAATACCGAAAGTTATATCTGGTGGGCACAGTCCGCTAACCGCTAATTAACGAATCTAACTTTTTCCTCAGCCGGTATGCCACACTGATGGCTAACTACGTCAACATATGTACGTCGACCAATCCCGTCTTGTGTAACCCATCATTTCTTTTGTTACACAAGATGTGATTGGTTGACGTACATATGTTGACGTAGTCAGCCATCAGTGTGGCACACCGGCTAAGGAAAAAATTAGCTTCGCTAATTATCGGTTAGCGAATTAGCGGACTGTGCCGACCACTGATATCTGACATCATAAAATTAATTTCCTTAGATCGTCCTGACGTCCTGTGATGCTAGTCACCACATTCAACAAGCAGCAAACTGTGGGTCACTCCAGCGTCGCCGTAGAGGAACGCACATGCCATCTATTAGCGGGCACGTTGAGAACGCGATAATCGATGGAGTTAATTTGAAGCCATCGCGTTCAATGATGATCCAACACAACCTGCACAACAGCATTCAACAAAACATGCCGCATGCAATGCCTCCTACAGCTCAGTATCGACATCTTGCGCCTCCAGCTCAGCACTGCATGCAAGCGCATGGATGCATTAATCAACAGATGCAAGTGCCTCGCTTGAGCCGACCTTACAATGGCGACCCAATTTTACACGGTCATAGCCCTCCGGTCAGCTACAGCCAAGCTCATGGCCACACACACTCACATCCTCAAAATATGTCGCCAGTGATGCACGGAGGTTCAGGAGGAGTTGGTTGCGAGAGAGCGGACATGGTTTTAACTTGTCATCCGCACAGGCAGGAATCCCACAGAAGTCCGGGCAATCCGAAATGCAGTAGTCCTGAGTCGACCAGCTATCATCCGAGTGACTCAAGTCTCCAACATTTGCTTGGCATTCGAACGAGCAATGCAGGGCAGCCGATGGCAGAGGAAGTCTTCAAAGACACTTTGACTTACGCCCACGAGCACCACATTCCAATCTCGGTTCAGTGTCGTGGAAGAGGATTAGCTTCGGTGGATGTAGACTACGGAAACGACACGCAGAGGAGTGAATCTGACTCAAGTATAGTGAACGAGTCTTGCAGAAGCACCGAAGCTCTTCTCAAAGGGAAACAAATAGAGAGTAAAGTGTGAGATGAGTTAGTTTTAGAACCTACATGCATCCATATCTCAAACAGCTAACGTAGCGGTGTTTAGAACTAAAGCGTTTCATATCATTCTACGTACATTTTAAGATCGCAGAGTCCGGCATGGTGATTCATCGTATCAAGTAAAGTAAATTTTATGAGTTTATACTTCGAAAGTTTCATTACTCTGCTCCTGGAAAACGAGCTGAACAAGAAGGTAGGAATTTTTTGTTTGTTCATAATATTCTCTGACAACAATTAAATGCTGTGCACCTACAATGATTTCGTTTAAATTTCACTACAAAGCTACTAGTGGTAAGATAGGAATTCTTATTATGCAATTGCAATCAAACTCTAACTAAATTATCTTATCATCTATTTGATTTGCAAACAACAGAAAACTAATTTTCCCTCCATCCTTGAAGAAATTGCAACGTATGCGAAGCGTCATGCCGAATTTTGTCTCCTTACTATTTAAGTGTTATGTAAAAACCATGATAAATTTCTTCATATGTACATGTTTTCGACGGTAATATTTATTACATTTGCTACGATCATTAAGAAATGATCAAATAATTGTAAACTAAACATGGAACAGAGAATCTTCATTTTGGGTGAACTATATACGACTGATTCTTCTTTTTAGCGCATTTTTTATTATATTAAAGTGTTCAATTTGAAACATATAGTAAGAAACACTTTTTTGCCCAAAGCTAGATGCAAGCTATTGCAAATAATAAAATTTAAATCATCATGTTGGCAGCTATACATAGCAATAGAAAATTGTTCACTTGTTCTAATAGATCCAGACTTCGATATATTTACTCCCCGGTTAACTAAATTTTATGATATTGTTAATAGCGCATTACATGCTAAGTTTGAGGGATTGTGAACCATAAAATTGTTGAATTGTCGATTTAATTGTGTTGCTGAATTGTCTTTTTATTGATTTAGGTCAATTAACCTCGACGCCTTGCGTGAAAGAAGATATAACTGATACTTTCCGATGATTATATTGTTAATTAGTATAATAGTGTTATCCCCTTGAATTAAAATCCTTGTTATCCCCCTAGATAATAAAAGCTTATTAATGATAATCTCATCCTAAAAATGTTGCCTCAGCCCAAAAGTTGTCGCTAGAGTTTGTATGTATCAATTCAGAAGAAAATATGAAACATTATGTAATAACATAATTTTCATTATGATATTAAGAAACATAACATAGATGAATGAAAATTGAAGATGTATGAGATTTTATTTCTTCTTTGTAAACTTGTTGTAATTAAATAATTGTCGACCTTAAAATGTTTTTCTTCCTCGAACATTCGGAGGTATTATTATACATATTTATGATTGTTTCTTGTTCGTTTACAATATTCAATTGGTCGTCCTCTATCAGCACATATACATATTCTCACATAGAAGCGTCTACATGCCAATCAGCGATAACACACGTTCATTATTCAACCAATACTTGCAATATGAACTCATTATTGTTTTTCAGAAACTATCCTTACCGTTCAAATTGAGAGATATGACACTGAAATGAAGCGTAGAGATACAAACAAATGTTAACGTAACGAATTTGGAATGATGACTTAAAGCGTTCAATTTTAATTATTAAATTTAATTTAGACCTGATAGTAGGCTTTAAGAAATTCAGCGATTCAGTGCCAAAGACAAGCATTCAGGATGGTTATCGCGAGTGCCTGGTTCTACTGACTATCAAAAGCAGATACATTATGTAAATTGGAATATTCCTTAGACCCTGCCGTTTCAGGGCCATTTTTATGAGCTTGCGTTGTTGTTAATTGATCAGACACACAAATATCATATATGTACCTATTACAGTTAATGCACCCTAGCCTCCATCCATAAACATTTTGATATATTTATTGAACTGTGAGGGAAAGATGAATATTGCCAGATATTAAGAAATGATTGACGCTAAATTTCATGTAAGATATTCCTCATGTCAGCTCGTATAACATAAAATATTTCTTTCTCATCTCTCGTCAGGGACAAAGTGACGCCACATTTGTTCAGAACATTACATGATACTGTAATTCAATACCGTAACTCAACTAAAAATGGAAGCTTGTTATGACGCCAGCCTCGAGATATTAATTTTTTTGCGGCTGGTTTGCAGACTAATAGAAGTCGTTCAGGAGCAAATTTTAAATGCATTCAAACGAAATAAAAATAGAAAAGTTGCCTGCGCCGCCGACAACTTTATCTAGACGTCATGAATTGAATACACACCGTAAGGCAGAAAGATAAGACTTAATGCAGTCGTATAAAAAGTTTAAATGCGTTTTGCTTGGAAGCGACTTCTGCCGCATCTGTAGAATTGTTTGCCAGAAGTTTTTATCAAATATTAAACGAAATGTGTAATAGCTTTTTGTACAAAAATGAAAGATTAAAGAGGCACTTATAGCGTACATTATTTGCTGTTTTTCCCAACAAGGAATATTTACACTTCAATTTTTTGGGCATGACGATTTTCCCTTATACGTAATATTTTGCGACCAACTAACGAGGATGCAGTTGAACTAAATTATATATTTTATTGGGATCTACTCACTGAACCTGTCATCCAGAAATTCTTGTGAAATTCTACTACTCGTGCAGCAAAACATTCAAAATTGCACTGACTCATATTATAACACAGGTGTAAATAAACATATACTGGCACATTTTGGAAATAAAATTAGGACGAAGAAATATGGTAGACAATTGATGCCGCATCCCATAACATTGCGATGAAATGTTGAAAATTAATTAAACCTAAAAAGTTGCCTACACACATTTTAATTTTAAATAAAACTTGAGTCGGATAAACCAAATCTTTCACGGTTTTAAGACATTTCTCAATTCCAGTAATGACTAATTAGAGTCCAGCACAAAGCACATCGCGTGCATATAACGTAGTGCCGTGACTCAGAGTCTCGTCGCACGACACTTAGGTTATCACAAACCCAGATGGGAATTGCGTGAAGGCAGCGCTTCCGTGGGCACTCATCACATTAGAGGCCCGCAGCCGCAGTCCGTGTGAGAGGCCACGGCCGTTACTTGGCCCGCATCACGCCCTAACGGCCCCAGACACAGAACTACTCTCAACATTAGCACGGGAGTCACCGCATGTGGTGCCTTCATTTCCAGAAAATGCAACAAACATTCAACAAAGTCCAGGAGCAAATTGAAGGTAAGATTTGCCTCGTCTATTTTGAGTTATTACTAAAGTGAACTTTAATGAGAGTGTCTTTACTTTTTCTTGACACATTTAGAGATCCTCATCCTTAGCTCAGTGAATTGGATGTAAGATTAGTCCTCAAGAAACGTGCTACATTAGCCACACCTTAAATAATTGAAATTCAAAATACTTATATAGACGATAGCGAAAGAAAGAGGTTGTTTTATTTCGTTTCTAACTATTGAACTTAGTTAAAAAATCAATGATGAAAGGGAAAATGTTTCTAAATTTTTTGTGGCACATGACACTTGGAATCTTCCAACTTTCTTTGCGTGCCGATTAATAATCATTAGTTTCACTTCGTGATAATATCTTTTACCGGATTATCTAAAAAGTTTGTCTTCATAATTATTAATAAAAGATTCCTAGTAAATATTTTTTAAAACGTATGGAAATATTCCTCGTCATAAGCACCGCAACCATCATCCATCATTCTACGTTTTTCCATGTAATGGACGGGAAATGTTAGGAACACGATTATCATGATTAAAAATGGTAGAAAGATTGTTATCCGTTTAAGAACATTTTAGTCAGCACTGCATTCCATTCATTTTAAAAGGTTAGATTTGCATTTGTAGCCAAAAATATTACGTATTAGCGAGTGTTATTAAATGGTTTTCTGGAAAGACCAAAAAACTCAAAGTACTCTATAATATGCAAAATAATTAGCGTAAACTAAAAATATGCCCAATTCAATTTTTCCATTTTCCGAATGATTACAATAATTTTATAATTCACTTGAAAATATTAGTTTTCAATTTCAAAATCCATGAAATTTCAAAGATTTAGTACTTCGTTACGTTTATAATGACCTATGAATCTCAATGTGTTTTTCAATTTCAAACATGACTAACAAAAACGAAAAATATATCAAAATACAAGTTTTTAATTGTTCGATTGATACAAAATTATTTGATAGACAATTTTTCTTGAAAATATCAGTTCAGTTTTCCTGCGTCCAAGGAATTTCAATGCTTGAATCTTTTTCTCTCAAAAGCGGAACAATTTTCTCTCAAAAGCGGAACTTGATAATAAAAAACTTGAGTTATCAAGGTCGGCACACTGGGACATAATAATACCGTTCATGTGACCGCGCTTGATGGCATCGTTTGTTACAATCGCATTGGAACAAGAGAGGTACTTACTGGTACTTGGTGAAACGGTACTTACCGGGACAGATTCACGCCGTACTTAATGGTAACCGAACCTAATGGTACCGTACGGGTTTTGGTTTTACCGTATTTAAAGGTACCAATAAACAGCGTTTGATGGAACGTTCTGGTACTGATTCACAAAGTTGGTTCAACATACTGGTACTAAGTCACAAAGTCAGTGGAACTTACTGGAATTGCATGAGTCACAAAGTCGGTGGAACTTACTGGCACTGGGTCACAAGTTGGTGAAACTTACCGGCACTGATTTTCAAAGTGTCGTGGCCACAAAATACTAATAGTGAAGTTTCGTGGGATTAACTGATCCAGTTGCCCAGAAATTTTTCATGGAATTCGTCATATTTCGGCAAAGAAATGCATTTTTTTAAATAAGGGTGTTTCGTGTTTGATTGTGCTAAGCTACTTACTCGTTACCCGGTCTTGTATTGTTCTATTGTTTATAGAAGTTTACATACAAATATGAGTACACACAATAGATTTCAGCACTTTACCGCGGATCGAAAAATTCTTAAAAGAGCAGCTTGAAATATATGATTCAACTTTCATTCTATGAGACGCAAACGTTATTATGAGATGAAGTTCAAGTTCTAAAACTTGCACTTGATCACATCTCATCGCCGGATGTCGAGCTCTCGTTCTGCTGTGTCGAGTGTCTGGGCTGGCCTCAACGATGCTTCGTAAAATTCACTGGGTCACAAAGTCAGTGGAACTTACTGGCACCGGTCACAAAGTCAGTGGGTGTTACTGGCACTGGGTCACAAAGTCAGTGGAACTTACTGGCACCGGTCACAAAGTCAGTGGGTGTTACTGGCTCTGGGTCACAAAGTCAGTGGAACTTACTGGCACTGGGTCACAAAGTCAGTAGAACTTACTGGCACTGGGTCACAAAGCCAGTGGAACTTACTGGCACTGGGTCACAAAGTCAGGGGAACTTACTGGCACTGATTTTCAAAGTGACGTGGCTACATTATACTAATAGTGATCCCCGAAGTTTCGTGGGATAAACAGATTCAGTTACCCAGAATTTTTTCATGGAATTCATTCTAATTTGGCAATGAAAATGCATTATTTTGTTTTAAATAAGCAATTTTGATTTTGCTGGGATACTTACTCGATAACGAGTCATATATTGCATGACTTTTTTATAGAAGTTTACCTTCATATATGAGTAAACCCACTTCATTTCAACACTTTGCAGCCGAATCGAAAATTCTTAA